GGTTTGCACCACCGTGCCTGGCTCTTGGAGGCCATCTCAACTTCTGCCTACCACTAATATTTTGCTGATTAACACATTTAAAGAAGTTTAAGTACATTTTTTTTTTTTTTTTTTTTTTTTTTTGCCCCACAACAAGCAGCTAAGGCATGGTTTAAACAGGTTGCTCTGGTACCAGAGGCTGTTTTACTACTGTATCTATTGTCAAGTATAACCAAGAAACTGCAAATGACTCAACATATTTTATTACCATTTTTGGGAAAAGTGTAGAGTATATGATTTTGTTCTGCTTCAGAACCAGAACTCTGGGATATTGTTACCTAGGACATAGCAGCCAGGGTTTAGCAAAATGAAGGTAAATATCACCAGATAGCACTCAAACTCCAACTGTATGCTGCTTGTTAAGCATGGCTAGGTAGAGCATGTGGATAATGTTATCAGGTTGGGGAAAAGAGAGTGATAATGACTAAGAGCTAACATTTGTGACAGGATGTATAGATTAAGTCTTATCTACATGGATCAAATTTAATTCTTGCAAAACCTTGAGATAGTTTTAGTAGGATTATCTTTTTTATTGGTAAAATGCACCCACAAACTTAAAATTTACAGTTTTAACCATTTTTAGGAATGAGGTACATTCACAAGGTTGTGCACCTGTCACCACCATCCATCTCTAGAACTTTAAAAAAATTATCCCCAAATGAAAATCTATACCCATTAAATACTAACTCTCCATTCCTTTCTCCTACCTCCTTGATACCACCATTCTTCTGTTTCTGTGAATTTGAATACTCTAGGTACCTCATATAAGTGGAATCATACAATATTTGTCCTTTTATGGTTGAGTTATTTCACTGAGCATGTCTTCAAAGTGTGTCTATGTTGTAGTATGTGTCCAAATTTATTTATTTTTAAAGACTGAATAATATTTCATTATATGTATGTACCATATATTTTATCCATTGTTTGTTCAACTTTTACCTATTGTGATTAAAGCTGCTATGAACATGGGTATACTTTGAGTTTCTACTTTGAATTCTTTTGTGTTTATATCCAGAAGTAGAACTGCTGGATCATATGGTAATTTTATGTTTTAATTTTTGAGGAACTGTCATACCATTTTCAAAAGTGGCTGTACTATTTTTCACTGTTCAGTGCAAAAAGTTCCAATTTGTTGACGTCTCTGCCAATATTTGTTATTTCTTTTTAAAAATTTTTAAAATTTGTTTTAATTAGTTACATATGACAGCAGAATGCATTTCAACTCATTGTACACAAATGGAGCACAACTTCTCATTTCTCTGGCTGTATGTGTTGCAGTCACACTGTTTGTGTAATCATACATGTACATAGGATAATAATGTCCATCTCATTCCACCATCCTTCACACATGTATACCTCCTCCCCTCCCTTTACTTCTCTCTGCCCAATCCAAAGATCCTCTCTTCTTCTTTTGCTCCCCTGCCCAATTATGGATCAGCAACCTCATATCAGAGAAAACATTTTGCCTTTGGTTTTCTGGGATTGGCTTATTTCACTTAGCATGATATTCTCCAACTCAACCCATTTACCTGCAAATGCCATAATTTCACTCTTATTTAAGGCTGAGTAATATTCCATTGTGAATATATATATATATATCCCATATTTTCTTTATCCATCCATCTGTTAAAGGGCATCTAAGTTGGTTGGTTCCATAGTTTAACTATTGTGAATTGAGCTGCTATAAACTTTGATGTGGCTTTGTCACTGTAGTATGCTGATTTCAAGTGCTTTGGGAATAAACCAAGGAGTGGGACAGCTGGGTCAAAACAATCCAAGTTTTCTAAGGAATCTCCATACTGCTTTCCAGAGTGCTTGCACCAATTTGCAGTCCCACCAGCAATGTACAACCTCACCAATGTTTATTGTTGCTTGTATTCTTGATAATTG